GCGATTGTTTTGTAAATAAAAAAGTCACTGCGCACACACAGCTCTTTAACAGATATTCCAAATAAACAAAATTATTTTTACACGAACACGACCACCGTACCCAGACTGCGTTCACATCTTAACACCAAAAGAGAAGTCTTCTCGATCTGCTCTTCTTTGGCGGGTTTATTGCTCGGTCAGGGACCATCTTTGAGTCATTTTCCAACATGAAGTGGTTGGTTGTCTTCCCGCTGGTTTCGTCACTGTTGGCGATAGCCGCCATCGCGGTTGGCATTTGCGTATCGTAAGTCATTTTAATTTCAGCTGCAAGATTTATTGAATCATTCCTTAAACCTTGGTTTCTTTATTGTAGAGGTTTTTAAGGCCCAGTGCAACAATGGAATCTGTGTCAGTTCAACTAAAATTGCTTTATCAATATTGCTGCTACTTTGACGTGAAATGTCAAAATTTGTAGATTAATGAAGAAAATGTCGGTTCTATACGACTTGATTATTAGCATTGTCGGTACCAGACGCAATCTTTGGCTCTCTCTCTCTCTCTCTTGGTAATGCATATTTGCTTTTTGATCCGAGAAATTAAATGAAGATTCATATGTATAGAATATTCACTCACAACGTATCCCCTTGTCTACACAGATCAGGTGCTCTTTTTATACAACCTCGTGCCTTGTCTGGTATAGTGTATGTTTCCATAGCTCTGGGTAAGTCCATGTTTATTTCCAGACTTCAAAGTGCCCTTAGTGTCCCCATTTTGCCGTGGAAACGATAAGAGCTTCTCGACTGGAATGAACGGTTTAATCCACAATCAGAGAAGTTTGTTACATCGCTGACTTTGCATGCTACAAACATATATAAATGGTGTTACTGTTTTTCAAAATTATTGGTGTTTGTTTTTCCGGCCATGGCACACTCGAATTATTTGACATCAAAGCTTTCTGAATCCCAAGAACACTACGGTACCTAGGCCCGTTGGTTGATCTACTATGATGATAATCCATGTTATGTGCACGTTTCACACATGTTGCTTGGATTTCTGGCACATGCAACACTGAGCAAGTTCGATGAAGTACCACTTGTTAACTAACTTGTTAGCTGGTGACGTCAGCGCACGTGCGGTAAAAGTTGAAGTGCCACCGACCTAGTCATCCATTTCAGGTCATTAGGCCATAGGGGAGGAAAGGAGGCCGCAGGAAGGGCAAAACAGCCCCCCCCCCAACAAAGGAAAATTGGTCGTTTCTGAGTGACTATTTTCCAGCATTTTTCTAATACTGTTCCTCTGTAAACTGCACCATTGAAAACGATTTCTGGCAACCAAAGATGCGACCAACCTCTATAGGCTGGTCGCGAATCTTGACTAGACGAGTCCAACCATCGTCGACAAACGTGCGTTTGATCAGAAATATAGTTAAACTTTGGTTTTGTATATGGTCCTTGACTGAACTTGTCCACTATAACTCACTCGAATGCAGGTTCATCACTTTCAAGTAAGTGATCGTGGCATCATGACTTAATTTAAAGTCCACTTTTTGACATCTTTTACCATTCATGTCTTACTTCTGACTCCAAATTGTGTCAGTAACATTCCAGAATATTCTTTTATTGGATTCACTGTTCGTGCTCTCCACGTAGTTTTGGTGTCCAAGGTGCTTCACGAAAACATGCTCAGACTGTTCGCCCTGACGAGGTCCAATAGCAAGACGCGTTCTAAAATCCACTGCTTGAATATGTTCTCGGCGCTGATTGGCTTAGTTGGCCTACTGAGTGTGACTGTCGCCTATGCCACTCCCAATCCAGTCTTTGGGATGACGAAGTCTTCGTTGCAGACTGCTATGGAAATCCTGGGTTGCGTCTCAGCCGCCCTGTACTGCGCAGTGCAAGCTCATCTGTCTAAGGTAGTGCGGCCGGAGCTGTGCAGTCGCTGCGTCGTGAATCTGCGACGGACTCTGACCGTCTTCGTCACTCTGCAGGCCGTCACTGGTATCCTTTCAATAAAATCGAGTGCAAGTCAAGACTGGGTGGAGATTTCAGTGATTGCAAACTTGGCTGTCGAATCTGTGCATTATCTGCAGAGGGCGCTCTACGATCTTCCCAAGCCTGTTGGTAAATTAGGTTTGCATGTAGGCCAGTGCTTTGGGGTATTCTCAAAGAATGTTTCCCTGGGAACAAAAGAACTGCGAACTGCAAGATGGCTTCAACAGAAAGCCTCTAAATACATGTCGAAGCACATTCAGTGGTCATGTCCGAATTGGTTGCAGTTCATGACATCGCACGCAATTCTCCTGTAGTGGCTGGAGCCGCACTCAATTTCAAGCTGCAGCCACGTATAAATTCCAACCGCCAGATTCTCGAGAAACACTTTTAAAAGTTTAGCTCCTGGTCCTCTTATAAAAATGAAATTCAGTTGGACAAAGGCGTTGCACAGAAAGACCCATCTGTTTGCTCCGTGAGTGGGATCTTCGTCTAGTTCTCAAATCACCGAGTTGAAAGAGAAAAATAAAGACGTTTTGATGAAAGATCAACATCAGTGTTGTTCCTAAAGGAACCAAACCAGTCATCGTACTTGGAAATATTCTGCCACTGGTGCTGCCAGTGACCCTTTCCAATCTACACTTGGTAAGTATTCTCTCGATTCGATTTTAAAAATGTTCGCATAATAGTCTCCTCTCAAAGCGGCCCTTTAACGATTTTTCCCCAACCGGCAGAGGGTAATGCGCGATCCACTCGCTCTTTCGAACTTCAGCAGGCATGAGTGGAACATACCTGCCACGTACCAAGACTATCTGTGTGTCCCGTCTGAAGATTATCTGCATTGTCTGAGTTTGAAGTCAGCGAAGAGTTTAGTTTATGTCAAACACGGCAAATGTTGTGAACTCAGCGCATAAACAATTATGCAACCCATTTGTATCGTCGTTTGGTTCATTATTCACCCACTCCTGTGTTGTTTCTAGTTATCAATATTTGCCATATTTGTCGGCAACCTGCTGCTTCAACTTTCCATTTCTGACGGGAGATACTTCCTCTAATCGTCAACCTTCCTCTTTAAAATATGAGATAAGTACATCTCAGTAAAAGATGCACAGTTGGATGATTTCATTTTGTTTCAGTTGAGGCTTTCCCGCCTTTCTGATGGCATCTTGAAGTACGTTCTTGTCTCTGTGGTCTGTGTCTACCTGCTGACTTTTACCCACGAGTTCAGCAAGGAACCGCCCAATCCCAACGATCGTTCTAGTTCTAAAAATGCCGTCGAACCCGAGCCAATGCCAAACCCCGACACTTAAACCGGAGAAGTACCACTGGTTGAGCGTCCCTGCATGACCGGAGCAAAGGTCTATAAAAGAACTTCCCGTGAAATCTAGAATCGTTCACAAAGTTGATAAAGCAAATAATTTTGTGGATCAAGGTCAATTCGTGATTTAGTCACCGTCTTTTTTATGATTGCCCGACCCGAAAATAAATACATGTAAACAGATTATCTTGAAATGAGCCTGAAAACCATCATTACAAAGGCCGCAAAAGCGGTATCTTACTACAGGATTATGTGAATCATAAAAGTGAATATCAACTGAGGTTTGGAGTGCACCGACGGGAACCCAAGCATTTTAATAACAGACAGAGTGTATGTTTTTTTGTTTGTTTGTTTTTTTTTGTTTTTTGTTTTTTTACACAAGCGGAGACCCAGTCCATGGGAATCATTCGTTGGGTGTGGACATTTTTGGAAAAGATTTTCAATTTCATTTCCAGAATATTAAAAAAGTAAAGTTCTGCGTCGTCTATACTTCAAGTTTTCGGAAGTATATTTCACGAAGGGCTTTAAACGCCAGAACCGGGTTTGCTAACAAAATTAATGTGAGGGCATACAAGAAACCTACTCGGTTCGATGGCAGATAAAGTGTACCGCACATTAGTAACAAAGCCAAACCAAAACTGTCATAATGCCATCGAGCCTACACCGCATCCCAAGCTAAAAATGGGCCTTTGTTTTGAGATTCTTTTGCCCGGGAACAACAAAGTGTTCAACCGACAAGTACTAACTTAATTACGGAATCACTCCTTCACATCTTTCTTCAATTTACAACGGCAGTGAATTTGGGACTTGACTGCATGCAAACTGAACTGCAAAGAAAAGATTTGAAAAAAGGGGGATTCGTATATTAATCAAATTGCTGGTAATGGACAACTGAGTGCCAAAAATCTTATTCATATTTCCATGAGGTTTTAAAGTAAACCAAAAAACTGACAAAAAAACTACTTTTGTCTTAGCTTGTGTTAATTCTAGTCCAACACAAAAAATAATTTTCAAACGGAAAAACAGGTGGTTGGGGCGTGCTATAGATATGCACAACATAAACAGTACTGTTGGACCAGATCACACGTGTTTGAAATGATACAAAAGGAAATTGCCAGAAACCCTTTGCAAATACTGTTGTTTGGTGACGTCACAAGCATGGTACCTTGACGTTGTTTCGCCCAAGGTGCGTCATACCCACAGACATCTCAGTTACTTTCGTGAGACTGTTCGCTTCCTTCCTCGTCATCCTGAGTGAATGCGTCCTCACTGCTGTCGATCTCAAAAGTCGTGAAGATGGGTATCTCCTCGGCCACGCCCTTTCGGTGGGGGTGGTCCGGCGGTAGGAGGAGCCTGAACTTTCCCCGCCCGTTGGTGGCCACTTTGATGGGCACGTACTGCTTGCCATCGAAATACATTGCGTCGCTGACCAGGAACCCCTTGGAGCGTGCGCGTTGGATCACTGAGGCCAGCTTGTCATGCGCAGTTTGACATTGGTAGTCATGACCCTCGCACAAGTCAGCCTTATTATTGTTGCTGTTCAGATCACCAGCGTGTTCGTTTCTACAAGAAATAAGCCAAAACACAGTTCCCAACAAATTAAATATTCAAACAAGATTCATGAATACCTGAGACATTTTCTTTATTCGACAACGCGCAACGTAATGCGGCTCGGGCATAGTTCGCTTTTATTATCCTAAGACCGACCAAGCACATCCCTTATCAAACACGAGGTCATCATTTTACCATCTCCAACCATCTTTTATCTCCAGTTGAAATCGAAGGAAACTACCTGTACAAAAGCAAATTGAAATGTTCATTCTGTGAACTCATATTTTGCTCCGCAAAAAAGGTACATTCCGTTCTGAGTGGTGTTCTTTTGAGCTTTTCAGAGTATTTATCCAGATCCGGAGTACTTCCAGATTTTCATCTGAAGCACAAGAATATACACAACTTTAATATACTGATCAGAATTTTTAACCAAAAAATATGTTTGGATCTTAGAATTTAACTTACGAATGTGCGAGTGATTGTTGGCAGAAATTTATTAGCTCCTCGCGGTGGGCGGGGTTTTCGAAGAGATTGATGCCATGGCAACGGAGAACGTCCTCTGGATCGCCTGCCTCGCCTTCAGCGCCTTGATGGAAATCCAGGAACGGCATGTCTGCAAGAGAATTTCTAGAAAACACAGGAAGAGATGACCCCTGACCTTGACAATCTCCCAACTCCAAGTCTGCTACGAGTTCAGGTTGGCGGAATGAAGTGGAAGTTTCATGGGGGAAAAAGTCTGAGAAATCCGGTGATGTGTTGCAAAGGTGTTTAGCTCGTGAATTTTCGGGCGAAACCGAATGGTGCCGCTTCAGAGTGGAAGATTCTAGAGGTGGAGGTGTTAAGGAAACATGCTCAGTGTTAAATGCTCTTCCTACAATATGAGGGCTGCCCGGGGAGTCAAGCGCCTGGGGAGTTGTTAAGCCGGACACTTGGGTCGCCTCTGCGTCGGTATTTCTCGGGGAGAGTTCTCCCTGGACGCTGACCACTTCTTCCGTGCTACACCCTCCGTCTTCAATTGCTTTGACTCCCTCGTCAATCTCGGTATCTGCAGGGTCGCCAAAGTCTAACATCTTCTTTGCCGCATTCTTCCTCTCTGCAATCACGCCAAGGTGAGGCTCTCCGGCCAGTGGGTAGGGAGACAGCGAGGGCATCACCGGGGAGGGGCCAGTGGCGTTATTGGTCGCTGGCCGATCCGGGTCCACCACGATGGCGCTGGTGAGCTGGGGCTCAGCCAGGGAACTCTCTTTGGTTTGGGATGGCATATCACAATGTCAATCCCCACGGGAAATCTGATAGCGAGACGAGAAAAGAAATATTCACGATCAAATTGGTTCATGGTTTGTTTTACCACAGAAATTATTGAAGTTTTATTTTACAAAAATGCAGAGCTCTTGGAAACACCCGGTGCCACGCTTTCCGACCTGTTAAATCCTGCACAAAATAATAACAGTGCTCAGCTGAGGCACGTCTCCACGAAGTTCATCAATTTCGCTACAGGCATCCTCACTGTAATTAGCATTATAATGTACAAGTCTTATGAAAATGCTATGAAACAACTTTGTGTTAACATCAAGACTCACCAACAGGAGGGGTCCTTCGCACAGTGAAGTTATCTAGACCGAAAATAAACTGATTGGATTTCCCGTTAACAGCAGAGACATCATGACGTGCCCGTCAATTTGACCGTTTTATGGCAGTTGAACGGTGCGTTCAGCGAGTACGCGCCCACGCGCGCGGCAGTCAGTGCGCGGTACGCGCGAAGTTGCAGGGAAGAACATCAGTTAAAGAGTTCGCTCAGCTGCTCGAAGAAAAGATTCAAAGTTCGTTTTGGGTTCAGTGTGCAACATTATTTCGCCAACGATTCTTAATTTAATGATTACCAGTTGGAAAGCAACATTTTCCTCTGTTGGGTATTATTCAAATGAAAGGATTGCTTTGGTGTAAGGGACTGGAAGCTTGGAGGCATTGCTTACAATAATGCCATGCACATCACCACAAACACCCCTCAACGTAGCGCTGTACTAACGTTTGGTTTCCAGATCACGTGGCCAGGACAGTCCAATAAAACGAACCGATGCAGCGAATAGTTGTTCTGACGTTTTTCATTTTATTAAAATTTGACACCCAACATTCAGTGGATTTCATTTGCATGTGGTCAGAGTGTTTAGAGTTATAATGTGCACCGTGAATAGCATACAGCATATAATGTACATTTTTGGCTCGCTGGCTAAGGCTGACAACAGTACGCTTACAAAACTATGAAATTAGCAAAACGAAAATAATAAAGATCGAGCTGAGACAGCATTTTTTTTTTACATAACACTGCGTGAAAATCAGATGCTATCTACCAGTATTGCTTATAGGCTCCTGAACCAGCCGTTTTAACGCTGGTTTAGGGAGCCTAGATGGAATTCGGAACAATGTGACCGGATGACACGAGCGGCTGAACAGCACTCTAACACGCATAACATGTGCACTCGTTTTCCTCTGGGATTTTGCTCTACCACGGGCAAGATGGGTGTGCTATGACATTCAAACCTTCACGGAATATGGCCCCTCGGCCAAACGGCGCGTGCACGGCTAAACTCAAGCTATAGCAGCAACACAGAGATAAACCAAACATCACAGGACACATCGTTTATATCCACAATTATCCAAAAGTATCTTGCGTGCACGTCAAATGCAGATGCATTGGACACTACAGACTAGCCAATATGATCTACGACGACAAAACCTGAGAAAGCCACCATTTATTTAAATCCAGTGAAAAAAGTGCACAAGTATGTGGACGAGCATGGACAAAACGTCAACAAATAAACAAAATCAAACTTGCCCTTAATGCTGTGTTCTGTTTCATTTTGATATATTTTCTGCCACCCCAGATCCAGCCTTGGGTGTTTTGTATAAAAAGTGCTAGTGCGTGGTCCACAACTGAAACCTTACAAAGAGTTGATACAGAAGCCGTGTCCTATTCAACTAGCTACGATAAGGAGTATATAACATGCGTCAACGAGAAGTCGCTGCAGTCGCCGACTAGTGACTTCCATAGGGGCATGCGTTATTTCCAGCCACATGCAACCCTGACTACCAGGCAACCTTGAAAAAAATTAAGGCTCCGGCCAGGAAGAATTTTAAAGCCATGGACTGGAGCATGGGGGATAAAAAATTATTAGAGTACTCTCGGCAAACACAGAAGATGACCGGCAGAGATGATACAACGGGCAAAGACCCGTCACCAATCCCCGCTAGTGCATGCTCGATTACCCCAGACCATAAGAAAAGGTGATGTAAGTGAAATTCGATGCCACCGATCCTTTTAGCATCCTTACTTTGCAGATTTCTTTAACAATCAAGGCAGTGCAGCCCCATAGCGACCCATTTCCATTCGCATTCGAAGTTGGTTCGCGGAGAGCATAGGCCTACAGAGAACAGATGGCGCCATTGAGACAAGCGAACGATCACTGGTCGTTAACACGCATGTCACAAGTACAAGCTTTTACCAACCACGTTGCAAAGGCAAGCAACAACACCGGCGAAACGCACGCAGAGTCGAGTCTAACCCACTGCCAAGTCACAGGCAAGTGAGCTCACGCGAATTTCCCAGTGACGGCCGAGCCGTTGCGGAAAAACATGTCAGTTATAATCTTGAGAGAAAAAAAAACAAAGCTAAATAAAATTAACCTGAAAATAGCAAGTGTTGTGTGTTACCTAACCACCCTGTGCAAAAATTCCACAATAAACAACACAATTAACGGCTCGAGTCTGTTTTGTTACAAAATATTTTCCAATTTACAAGAAGTCCACTAACAAGTACGCGTAATGCCTTCTTCGGTTAACTACATGTACTAGTAATCGTACAAGCGGAACTTAAAGTTACATCTGTCGTCTAGTTGCATGTACTTGTATAATACACATTATTTTACAAAGCGTTAACAGAATGTAGTTTATTTTCGAAATATATAAAATAAAATAATCAGTATTACATTTAAGGCCAACATCTAACAGGGATGATTTTGAAAACCATTTTGAAAATCATCACTGAGCAGCAATAGTTTGCTTTTCCGGGTCCCCAAATTCTCATGTGGGTAAGTTTTTGTCTTGTATGGCAACCCATCGCTGGGTTATTAGAACAATCTTGAACATGTCAAACAATAAAACCCAGATCCCACAGAGCTATATATCAAATTTACTAAAAGGCGCTCTATGGATGCACCCTCAAAATAAAGATCAATAACTGTGTAAGAACACCTCTGGGTAATAGATGAGATTACACGAACACAAAAATCATGTAAATATTTAAACCCTAATCTTGTGAAATTTCTGAAAACGGATCAGTTAGCAGACACATTCAATTTATCAAAAAGCTTAAGAGCTGAAACATTTATACAACCACAATTCTTGTACATTTACAAAGGAATATAAAATGTTTAAGGTATACATGTTAACAGCCAGCTCATCTTTTCTCATATACAAAAATAGAAAGTGACATATAAAAAATATCGATACAACTAACTCTGGCCCCAACATAAGAACTTTTCTGATACCTGCCGGGGATATTCCCACAGACTGTGGTAGAGATTAGCCCAGTCCTTTTCTGTTCTTGTAGCGATAATCCCAGCGTGAACATACTTTGACCAGACGATTTGCAACTAGAAAGGGCCAGGATGTCTCTCACATAGACTTGTTCAAGTCTCTACTTGTCTGGCCTTTTCATTACATTTTTTTTTGGGGGGGGGGGGAAATTAGACAGTCAACAGGCGGAGTGATCCTCAACCTGTATGTAAACTGTCATTGGTACTAGCAAAGACAACTTATATATGTAATTTGAAGGGGCTGCTCTGCATTATTGTACACAAACATAATTTATGGCCGAATCTTTACATGAAATTTTCATTAAATTATTTTCAAAGACTTCGTTTTAAGTCTTGAAGGCTACTTTTCACGATGGTGACTAGCATTCCAAATTACCGTTAACAAATATTTTCCACAAATATCTTTTTGTAGACAGTACAGAGAAACTGCTTGGAATATATGATGACCTTGGGCTACAAAGATGATAAACCTCGGTCCCAGGAAAACCAACTCAGTCTAGAAGATCTTCGCAATCAGTCTTTCGGGAAGTTTTGGACTCTCGAATCGGAGCTCTGGTTGAAAACCTCACAAGCCATCCAGTCTTATGCCTGGTCACTAGCCACACAAATTAACAGTGATCCAAGCATTCTTTGGTCACGGTTCACCCTGGCACTTGTGACTGGGTTTTTGAAGGGACCTGCGATAACACTTGACCACGGCACCAAATACATGTACATCTAAATATTTTCAGTGGAAGGAATGTGTGACCGAACCATCGAGATATAAATATTCATGAGCTTGGCAAAGGAATCATCAGACATATATACAAAGGATGTTTGTACAAACTAGACAAAACTTTGTATTTGCTTTAAAAATAAACAGACATGCCACACAAATACCTGGAGGCTTTGGTTAGAAGATTACGGGTATGTAAATGGAAGAGGCGTTGGAAACATCATAAAATTAATCAAAACTTTGAATATTCATTCTTAGCCATGTTCACTGAATACTCAGGACAACTTGGTCCATATTCATGATGTAGACTGGGATATCTTTGTGACCTGATAGTAAGCGCAAATAAAAGATCGATTAGAAAATACATGGAGATTTATAAGGAGCCTCTTACCCAGAGGCGAAGCATGAAAATGCCATCAGTGAACTTCTTACCAGAGATATGGCCTCTGCTGCAGATAACTGCATACCTATGGAAGGTCACATCTGAATGTCTTCTCTGCGGCTTACAATTCTGCATGATTCTATGGGAAACGGCTGCAGCCACTACCATAAAGTTGTGCATAATTTCTAGTCGCAGCCACATAATTTTCAGACACTGTCAAAGCCACTGACCAGCAGCAGCAATTCCACATAGAAGCATGCCTTACTGGAAGCTTCAGTCGCTAATTTGGACATGGTCATTATCATGACTGAAGGGCGCTTGAGCACTATTTCAGGTGTGCACCTTCAGCTTGGGTCTCTATACATGAGGTTACTTCAGCTTTTTTGCATATTCACTTTAAACGGTGGCAAGCACTCAGCACCAATGGAACCTACAAAAGAATGATTGTTTTCCAACTGAGCAAGGTCACTTCAGATTTGTGCATATTCAATTGAAAAAAACGGTGGCATGCATTCAGCACCATTCAAAACTCCAAACCAGTTTGCATCTTCCTATATGTCTCAAGCATGGTTGCTGAGCAGTGTGCACATTCAGATGAAAACTGGCAACACGCACTCAGCACCAAATCATTCTCTCTCCAAATGTGAGGATGCTGCAGATTTGTGTGCATTCAGTTACAAATTGACTTCCAGCTCTTGGTTCCATTCGATCTGGCAAACAAGTGAATGTTCACAAGATTTCTTTTGATGGCTGTTTTAACGCAGTCTGACAGCGCCATCCGCAGTTCCTTCACGGCCTCCATGCACCAGTGAAGAAAAATAAATAAACATCCCGAATTCTCTATTTTCATTGTAATCTTTCGTGTGCCCTCAGCCACTAGGGTTGAGTGCAATGCTCAAGTGGTCCTTATTTATGGGAAGTCCAGCTCAATTGGCAAAGGTTGGTAAGTGCATGTTGCAGAACGAAATTCCCTACAATGACCCAGAGTGGGATTTGAACCTGAGCCATGTGGGATAGAGGTTAAGGGAAGTGCCACTGGGACCAGCTTATGATGTGGAGCTAGTCATGTGATTGTTCAAGGGAAAAACGTGTCACACCAGGTGGATGGATGGGATTCGAACCCAAGTCGCTGCAGCAGAGGGTGAGAGGATATCCAGGTGCTGGGCTGTATACAGACCAGGTGATGAACGCGAGTCAAAATGGAAGAAGTCAGGGCAATTCGACTGTGCCGGGTTGAGATTCGAACTTAAGTGCAGTAGGTTAGTAGCAGAACCTAGGTGTTAGCCTGGTGCTGGATGGGATTTGAACTGAACTTAAAGTGGTGGAGGTCAGGGGAAGTACCACTGTGACAGCCAATACAAACTGGAAGGGATTCGCAACCCAATCCAAAGTACTTGTGGTTCGGAGCAACATCCACAATGCTCGACTCAGCACACCCAACGGGATTCGAACCTGGGTCGAGGTGGTCGTGGTCAGGGGAGAGTCCGTCCACCTGTACTTGAGCTGCTGGCTGGCATGACTTGCATTGGTGATTGACCTTGTGTTGTGTGGGGCGGAGGCAAGCGGTCAAACCTTAGCGTCCAGGTTAGCTTTGACTTTTATCCGGACGTCTTTTGCCGTGTCTGCCACCTTCTTGCCTGGGAAGATAAACGCGCAAACAACAATATCATCACTGATTTGGCACCAAAAAAAAAAGCACTGCAGTGTCATTTACTATTTTTCGAGGTCGGGTTCTGAAAGCCACAGGTGAAAAACATTACTATTTCTGTAAACGCTGTGCACTGTTTTTAGTCTGCCTGTCACTGAGTTTCGTCTTCACATGTATATCCACTTCTCTGTGCCAGTTCTATTATGAGGGTCAAACATGTCATGAGTTCCTATTGGTAACAATTGCACAGAAGTCTCTCAAATCCCTTGATCTAAAAAGGCAGCTCCGGTGACGTTTCATCGGAATAACTGGTAGCCGGGTCGGGTCATTCCATGAGGTTGGGGTTTGTTTTGGGACGGTGTCCATTGCTACATGGGTTCCGTAAAAGTGAACAGCTATTTCCCTGCCTGTGGATTCCAAATTGACATTGTTATACATCTTGTAAGGCTGAATACAGAGGTGTGTGTTATTTTTACAGGGTAAATAACCTACATGTACTCTACAAGTCATGACAGGTGGTAAAAGTTTTGGATGTAACGAGGACACCGTCACAAACTGTGCCCCAACCTCATGGAATGATCCAACTTCAATCACAGGTGGGTAACCTGTGATCGACTTGTGAGGACAAAGACTGGTCTCAAGCGTGGCACTGTACTCACCAGAAACACGTGTACACTGAAGGCGAGTATAGCTTTGCAAGTAATACATTTGTGTTCTTTAAAAAAGAACTGTCATGACTATGTATGAGGTGGACTTACCTCCCTCCCTGGAAATGTCCTTGACGGCCCTGCCAATCTTTTTAACCTTGGCCCCAAATTTGTTGGCATTGATTTTGGCTTGAGCTTCATACTCCCGCACCCTTGTCTCAAACAGACCTGCGGGGAATGAGGACGAGTTCAAGTTCAGTGATAACCTCACCTTCTGCAAAATGAACTTCAGGTTTTTGAAAAAAACAATGCATTGCCCAATTGTAATAGTTCTAAAATGGTACAGACACTGAAGTGGGCGTCTTTGAAGATAGAGAACTATACGTACACTGTAAAAACATTAATGGGTAACTGTAATTGAACACTTGGTGGCACTGTTCTAAGCAGAAATTCCCACTAGTTCTGGTACACTGGAGAGATATGAGGCATTTTGTACATACAGTTCAGGTAAAAGATATTTGAAAATAAGATATAGGCTCTTTGGAATCCTTTGCTTGTAAATTTTGGAATTCAGACCTCACTTTTGGTGTGTACATTATAGGAATATTCTGACCGAAGAGGGGCGAGTATCCCACGACCTTTGACCTTTTGGCACTGACCTTGGGCGATGCCTTCCACCTCGGCCTCTTTCTCCTGGATGAAGAAGGCGAACATCTGGGTCTCGCTGAAGACCTCCAGGAACTTGCGGATGCTGCGGGAGGTCACCGTCCGGATGAAGCCCTCCCGGTCAAACTTGAGGCCGCCATCGTACTTGGTCGAGAAGTGGTTGACGTAGTGGCCGCAGGTCTCCACAAAGTAGCGGATGAAGACCTCTGAGATGGCCCGGTTTTTGGCCTCGTGGTCTGACGGGAAGAGAAGCAAGTTTCAGGGTCTGGACTTATTTCTTTGAACGGAAGGGGAGTTGGAAGCTGTGGTAAGGGTTCATGACACATGATCGGAGGGTCCGAGGTACGATTCCAGCTTCAGGCCATAAACTGTGACCTTGGGCAAGTCATTTACACTCTTTTTGGCCTCTCTCCACCCAGTGGCGTAACAAAAACAATGACAACACGTTTGAGGAAATGATTTAAAAATTCCAGGATAGATGTGACCATCAAATAGTCCAAGAGCTCAATCTACTGAGCTCTCAAGGTCCCATGTTTGCAGTTTCAGACTCTATGAATGAGGTTACTCGAGGGGTGCTACAGCCCACAGCCACAAACCCGTGTGAGGCAAAAAGGCAAGCCGTATTTACGGTATATCAAAGCTTTTTCTCATTCTCTTTAACCTGGAGCCCAGAGTTGTTTTGGCTAGGATGCAACATCAGTACGTCCAAATCTTCAAACTGCCCCCCAGGGAAATATTGGATACATCTCAATACCCCAAGGTCCTCTACTGCTTCTTGCAAGTACTGCTTGGAGGGGTTTTTGGTTCAACAAGGTCTCATGGGATGCCTTGCTGTCAAATCTGAGTTACCAATTGGTTTAGTTTGCATTTTTCACTGAACTTTTGGACAGTGGTGGTTCCTGCGATACGGAAGACTTCGGGAGGATTTGGCATAAATATTTTTGGAAGTTGGGACTTAAGGGATTCAGACATAAACTGCTTTCAACTTTATTTGGAGGAGGGGAAGCGAGGGGAAGTAGATTGATGCCCACCCTCTGATGAGATGTCGTCTTCTGAGCCGTAGCTGGGCTCGGTGAGGCTGCCGCAGATGTCCGTCAGGGCACGTTCCAGTGCATGCGACAGCTTCTTGGGGATGATGGTCGCCTCGTCCCCAACCACCGTGTAGAAGTCCTTGGAGTCTATATCCACGATCAGGACCTGGTATGCAAAGAGAGGGCAGGAAAGGTCAATCCAACAGGCGACGGTCGAGATGTAGGGTGGCAAAGTGAGCTCTGACAATATGGCTGAGAATTTGATCGAATGTGAATGCATGTACATGCACTTTATATGTCCCCTGAGAGATGATGGGTAAATCTGAAACCAAATTTTCAGGAAGAGGTTCAAACTTTTTTGGGGGGGCCTAACACACTTGGACAATCTCTTACGTAGCATTTTCTGGCATTTAGAGGGTAAATGCAGTGATTTTTACTTGCTTTGGGGAAAAAAGAGAGGAAATAAAACCATACTCCTGAAAGTAACCACATGTATTCTCTTTTTTCTCAAAACAAAATTAATTTTGCCACTTTTTCGGGGGGGGGGGGAATATCTGACAAGACCGTCTGCACCTAACCTCTTCAATCGGCAACTCTTCCAGCCTTGGAATGCAGAGAGACAGCATTCCCATGATGTAGGGAGTCGGGGAGCAAGACATGTCAATCAGCTTCTCCGGCAGTACAGGCACGTAGACATGCTGCCAGGCAAAGGGGTAGAGGAGTGCGGCCACGGCCTGCGAACACTTGGACAGCTTGCTGAAATGACAAGTTATTTCGTGCAGATGACATATTGCGCATGGAAACCTAACCTTCATGTCCTGTTCAAATCTACCTGTTGAGAGTAGTTTCCAAGACCTGATAGGCATCCAAGTCGACAGGAAGCGGCTGCGGCCACGAGTGTGAGTAAGCATGTGTTTATACACTTTTAGCCAAAGTCACGTAGTTCAGTCACGGCCTGTTTTCATAATTCCGCTGATTCATAGAAACCATTGTGAAAGCTTAAGGACAAATTGTTTCATCTCCTTGCAGCATGGTAAGACCAGTTCAACACCCCCCTTTGAACTCAGTTGGCAATGCAATGACTGATTTTGTTGGAATATTTTCCATTATGATGTCAAGGTCTTGTCCTTAACACAGGTATGGAGCAATTTCATTAACTGTAAAAATCTGCCAAGTGAACACAAAATCTGTTTAGCTGCAATCGGGTTATCAGCCAA